CTGTTTGCTTATTTACATTTTTTTATAGCTCTTATTTTCACAATCAAGTAATATTTCCAGACCCAGCTAGCCTGAAAATAAATATGCCCAAAAAAATTTAATTACCGTGGAGGGTAAGTCCGTGTTCCTATTTTAGATCATGTTTTAAAGAATACTTCTTTCCATTCAGGAATATATAAACATATTTTGGACCCAAGTTAGTAGTTACAATTTAATGCAAAATTGAATTATCCTGGGAAGTAAATTAGAAGATATTTTCTGTAGCCAAGAAAGCATCATCTCTGTCATAAAGTTCATAGGCACTGTTTCGAGTAAATCTTAGAAAGTTATTATACATAATTGTCAATATAGTTGCCAGTTTGTTAGAATTTAAAAAAAATAATCATCTCATAAATGTAATTTTTAGAGCCAATTTATGGCAAAGCATCATCTCTGCCATAAATTTTATAGTAAATCTTAGAAAGTTATTATAAATAATTATCAATATATTTGCCAGTTTGTTAGAATTTAAAAAAAATAATCATCTCATAAATGTAATTTTTAGAGCCAATTTAGGGGACATTTTTATCATATTTGCAAACGCTTCAGATTTAAGAAAGACGTTTAGTTTTCTATAAACTGTGCGTAGCTATTAATCTATAGTTGATGCTGTATTTAGTTATGATTACAATTGCTGGCTATTAATTTATTGTAGTAAAACTTTCGAGTAAATTGGAAGGTATCAAGAAACTTGTTTAGGGCACTTCTTCTGCAACCATACTCTGCCATCTTTCAATGCTGTCGGCATCCATTTTCACAATCCGAAACGTCGAGTGATCGTTGACTGAGAAACTCGCAGCTGGCTGTTCTTTCTTGTTGATGCTGCTGCTGCTGCTGTTGTTGTTGTTGTTGGTTTTGTCATTGCCCCCCATTTCCCAGTAGTATTGTTTGCGTGTATTTGTATCTGTGCGGTTGAGTATCTGCAAGTGCTTGCGGCTTTGCAACCTGCTGCGTCAAAGTAGCGCAATCTTTTCCCTTTGTTTATTTACGTTTTTACATTTCTAATTTGTTGTTTGCTGATGCTAGTGTGTGTTGTTGTTGTTGTTGCTGTTGTTGTTATTTTTTAAGGAAAATTCCCCAACAAGTTTATTGCAGTTTTGAGTTTTCAATTTTCAAGTGCTCGCCTCTCGACTACAAGTGCATTATTTATGGGCCTTGCCACAGACGAAAGCTCCTTCATACATATGTGCTATAAATTTCTGCTCGTTGCTCGCCAAAACTAGGCAGCGGGACGACTAGAACAAACGGACGGACAAACAAATGGACTAACAGATAGATAGACAGACAGACTGACGGACGGAAAGACAGCCGGAGAGGCAACTCATCAACCAACAGGGGCCCGTCATCATGCGGCGAAAGCTGTCCATTTGAAATGCCAGCGCACAGAACTTAGGGCTGTGCAAGCTCAAGTGGTAGTTCTTCAATGGAACTAGTTCTCTGGTGCTGCTCAGTATCAATTGCTGTTAAAAAAAATGGTTGGAAGATTTCTGGATTATTATGTAAATAAATATATTACTCAGTGCTGTCTGTTTGATTTTAAGGATCACGAAAAATATAAAAGCTAGAATAACACTTCTTGGAATTTATATTCTCCTAAACATTAAGCATTTCAAGCTTGTGTTTTCTTCCCCGTTGCACTACTCTATTTACATGCTATTAGTATTTCAGAAACTCCGAAATTTTTCAAAATTCGGTCTCAAATAATTGACAATACTTTCGGTAAGTGCTTATGTGATCTTAAAATTAAAATTTTGATTAAATAATGCACGATGCATTTAAAAAATAATAATAAAATTAAGGAAAAAAACTTCAACAAATCCAACTCAGATCCATTTTAAGGCGAAATAATGCGTCATAATAATGAACGTGTAGTCGACTTTATATGGCAACATTTTAATTTTCTAACCGTGTTAAATTAAAAATTAGGTGTATATGAATATAATTCAAAACTAGTACACATTTTTATGTAAAACTTAGAGTTCTCCTGCAAATAAATGGATATTCTGATCAATTTTATCCATTTCGGAATTGCTTTTTCTATACTCAGGAATTCGAAATGACTTTGAAATGAAGAAAATCTTCAAAATGTGTTTCAAAACGAGTTTTTCTGAAAATTTTAAAATAGATCCTTAAAATAGAAAGTTGATTTCTTCACTTATTTATATATTTTGCAAGAATTAAAGCGCGAGAATTAAAGACTAGAACGTCGGAACTTGTTCATTGAACTGGTTCCACACAGGTCAGTCGACTCTCGGCCCCTCCTCCGGCACTCATCACACATGCAATGTGGAGCAACGACTTCATTTCAAATGTCATTTGCTGCTTTGGCAAAAATATAAAAAAGTCCATTGCCTGGGAGGAGGGATTGAGGGGCACTTGTGTCGCAATGTTTTGTTTTTATGGTCGCGCCTCACAGTTGCCGCTGCACAGAATTCTATGCTTTCCAAAAATGGCACTGGCATTGGCGGCTTTTTAGTTCGTCCTGCTGCGGCGTTGTTTTGACATTTTAATAGCTTAACTGTTGGCTGTCATTTGTTGTTGCTGTTGTTGTTGTTGTTGGCAAACAAGTTGCGGTTTGATGGCCGCTCTTGACGTTTTATGTCACAATTTGCGCGATTTTTAATTGCAATTGAAGCTCTCTGAAATACTAAGCGAACGTTGACTGCTTAAAGCTTAAATTGTTAGTGAGAATGTGGCTTTGTTAAGCCGACAAAACCAGACAACTATGCTAGACTTGTACAGAAATGAGAATAAGGTGTCATTTTATTTTAAGACACATCTATTAATTAGCTTAGTACTATTATTTAACCAATGAATTTATTTCAAAACTAATACGGAGACTGATCGCTCAAATATCTAGCCCTGAGCTCATAGGAATCTTTTTAATATGCCAAATTTTTTGAGAATTATTTCTGAAAACATAACAATTTTCTAAATTTTAAAACGTTTTTACCCCAAAAGGTAGAAAAATATTATCGCTTTATTGAAAATAATACATATTATGCTAACTATTTATTGATTAATTATTAAAACAATTGCTTGTATAGAGTTTTTTTCCTATAATAGAGTTAATTTGTTATTTTGAACAATTTCTTCATATTCTCACAAAGTTTGTTTATTTAGTATTTCTTTATAATTTAAGAGAAAGCACCTTCTAAGTGATGTTTTTATAGGATACCAATATCATAATTTTTCCCCCACATCTACAAGTTGTTCTTTAATTAGTTACCCTGCCGGCAGCCTTCATCAAGTCAATGGATATTCATTTGATTAGCGGCAATTGATTGCAATTTAGCCGCACGAGCTTATGCTGCTCTACTTGTAGAGCATACATAATTGACTAGGCTCATTAATTGTCTGCTAAATATTTGCTTATTTAAAATGCCATAAATTAATAGCGCCAATCAACGGGCGCAACAGACAAAAAACAAACGAACCCATTCACTGCTAATGAAAATTTATGTCTTCATTGGCGAAACAAAGCGGTTTTTCATTTTTACTTAAATAAACAACGCATTGAGGAACGTGGCTAAAATCATTAAAATCAATAAAATAAACAACAAACGTAATTTGATAAAACTGACAGGTGCTAAATATTGGCCTAGCTGCGCAAAATAAACACCGATCCGTGTTGATTAAAACAAGATGGCGACGAGCAGCGACGCGCCAAGTGACAGTGATAAATTTTAAAATGATAAAAGCAAATAAGGCATGTAAACTTTTCTCTATGATGAACGATGGCGTTGAAAAATGTTTGTTTATTTTCGAAAGTTTTTGCTTCAAATGGCAAAAGTGCGCGCATGCAATGCAATTGGCTGTTGTCCCGAGCGCCAATGACAGCTTGAAGTGTGTTTGCGCAAGCGTGTAAGCCCAGTGAACAACAAAAACAAAATAACTACAACAACAACACCCACCCAGCTGCGAAACTCCAAACGCCAACGCCACCAGAGTGGGTGTTAAATATTGGACAGACAAACCAGTTTGTGTGTTTGCAGGCAACGTTTGCTAGAGTGCGATGGTCATATGAGCTGTCAGTGCGTTATAAATTCCAATTAGATTGTGCCTAGCATGCTGTACTGCTCTTACCTGGGCTAGTTAAATTGATGAGCAGCCATTTTCTATGCGCTATTTCGCTTACGCACACAACATTGCCACATCCAATTAAAACCTCGTTGGCTGAAGTTGAAATACACCACAGCTGTGCCGAACTCACCACACAGTCACTGCAGCCATCTCTCTTGCACGCATGCTGAGTGCGCACTGACGTTTCATTTTCCGTTTTGTCTCATCGCCATCTTTCACACACCAGCACACATTTGGTGGCCAGCGATCGTCACACACACACACACGTATACACATATAGACGCGAATGCACAGCGACGACCATCGCGCGCACACCACGACGTCGCAACCGCCGACCGAGCGTCAGCAGCATGCGAGTTAGAATTTCAGGAGTCCGCATTTCAGTCCTGCTGCGCATCTTGCAACGTCAAGTCTTGGTGTGCATGCTGTTCCGTCACTTAGCACGCGAGGTGCCCAACGCGTTCCCAAAATAAAAACATATAACTAATTGAAACCCAAACAATATTATAATAACTAAAATACAAGAGATACACAAATCTGTTGGTATTACGTGGGGCTTGAAAATTCTCTCTCTCTCTTAGGCTTAAACAATACTACGCGCGCGTCTAAAACACATAGTTAACATTAATAATAACAAAGTGCTAGTTCTAAGCTCAACAAGAGCTCCCTGCCCCCCCACAAAAATAAATGTGTACATATGTATGAAGTGCTGTGTGTTCCGCCATATCGATAAGATAATGGGCCAAAGCAACTAAAACATAGTGCCCCATTGAGTGTAAAGTTCTAAAGTACTGATACTGATACAGATACTAGTAGTTTCGAAACGAAATACGTTTAATTAAGAGTCAAAGAAGGAGGAGGAAAACCCAACCGGCAATATGATGATGAACGCCTTTATAGAGCCAACGCCTACGCAACATCATTTGGCCAGCTATGGATTGCGGATGTCGCCCAATACGACAACGGCGGCGACAACGACGGCCAATGGCCAACAGAATGATATGACTGGACAACAACAACAACAGCAACAACAGCAGCAGCAGCAACAGCAACAACAGCAGCAGCAACAGCAACAACAACAGCAGCAGCAGCAGCAACAACAGCAGCAGCAACAGCAACAACAACAGCATCTGGATGCCTCCGCCTTAATGTCGCTGAGCGGCAGCAGCGCCGTCGGCAGCGTCGGCATTAGCACCGATATGTCCTCGCCGAACGCCAGCGCCAGTGTGGCCGCTGCCGCCTATCAAAATTCCGGCTATGGACACTTTAACAGCTATGCCTCCAGAGATTTTCTGCTGGGACGACGCGGCGATGCGGCCACGGACTATGCCTCCAGCTCCAGCCAGCTGATGACCGGCTCAGGTGCCGATTCCATGCTCTTTTCCGGCTTTCCCGCTGCCCAAGCGGAGCTGAGCACCACCTTTGGCCAACATCCGTTCCATAGTCATCATCATGCGGCGGCGGCAGTGCATCATCAGCACCAGATGCGCATGGCCGACTATGCCACACACCCGTATGCCCAGCACCACACCAATTTTCCGTCGGCAGTGCACGCCCATCACCATGCCGCGGCAGCCCACCACCACACCCATCATGCGATGTCGGCGGCTGCAATGCATCCGGCAGGTGCGGGCGCCTTCCTGCGCTATATGCGCCATCAGCCGACGACAGCGGCGTCGAGCATCAAGCAGGAGATGCAGTGCCTCTGGATAGATCCCGATCAGCCGGGTCTGGTGGGCATGGGTGGTGGTGTTGGCGGGTCCAATGGTCGCAAGACATGCAACAAGATCTTCCATTCGATGCACGAAATAGTCACCCATCTGACGGTGGAGCATGTCGGTGGGCCGGAGTGTACCACACATGCCTGTTTCTGGATCGGCTGCTCTCGCAATGGCCGACCCTTCAAGGCCAAATATAAGTTGGTCAATCACATACGCGTCCATACGGGCGAGAAACCCTTTGCCTGCCCACATCCCGGCTGTGGAAAAGTCTTTGCCCGCAGCGAGAATCTCAAGATACACAAACGCACGCATACCGGTAAGTTACACTCCCGGAATACCTCTGGTATTCTAAAACTTTTACTCCAATCCATTGACCGAAAAAGAAGAAGAGCAAAGTTCTTCTTTTTGGAAAAGAACTCCACAATTCTCTCTACGGAGGAATGGTTTCCCAAGCTGTAATGTCAATTTAGGTTGGATTCGAAATATGCGAATTTTAAGACTGGTCCGGATTACTTTTCAAAGTATACGAATTCGTTGGTGATTTGAATGCTTAGATTTTGAAAGGCTTTCTAAATAAATCCCAAATAGTTCAAGGTTTTTAAATGAACGAGGAGTTCGAAAACAGACAGCTAAGACATTTAATCGCTGATTAAAGATTTATAATATTTACTAGAAGTTAGTGGACACTATGTATTAATATTCTATTAAGCAGTGTTCTTGTTTATGAAAATATAGAAGGAGTCTGAACGGTATTCGTTGAAATCGAAACAAATATTTAGAATGTGGAAAACAAAAACGTACTCGACTTTTTCTTTAAGTAATTTATAAATATTCGAATAAAAGAAAACTATTTTTTCTTGCTGTTGAAATTGAATTTCAATTCCATTTTTAATTTCACTAACGAATTGCTTTTAAGCTAGAAGTTTTAATTAAAGTAATTAAAGTATTTGATTGCTCTTTTCTTTTGTTTAACAAAATAAAGAGACATGGTTTTCTAAGCTGAACATTTAATTTCAAGTCAAGACATTTTAGAATCGCGTATTAAGAAGTTAGAAGGTTGAATTCCATAACTGATTCTGTTTAGAAATCACTTTTGAAAGCAATAAAAATAAATTTCAAATTTCATTTTGACGAAAATTAAATAATCTTTGAAATGTAAAAAAAGAACGTATGGCTTTCTAAGCTGAACATTAAGAAATTAGAAGGTTGAATTCCATAACTGATTCTGTTTAGAAATCGCTTTTGAAAGCAACAAAAATAAATTTCAAATCTATTCAAAAACAACACAAACAATTAAATAATCTTTGAAATGTAAAATAATTTCAAATGAATTCTTTTTGAGAGATGTTTACATTTCCAAACAAATTTGATAAGAATTATAGAGAACACACATTTCAAGAGCTGCACATTTTTTCTCTGCGTGTAGAGCCGTCATTGGCATCGTCCTCGAACATGCTTTTCAAACATTAGTGCGGGTTTAACCCGTTCCCCTAAATCCTGTGTGTGGGCGTGCGCCGTCGGCAATCCATAGCCGTCTGTGTATCTGCAGTCAGTGCACGCCTCTGGCTTTACCTGGCTTAGTGAGTTTTTCCCCGATAGTCGGTCTGTTTATGACACCAACACCAACACCAACAGCAACACCACCACCTGTATATTTTGTAAAGCCTTTGGGAGAAATCCTTTAAGCTGCACGGTGCGCAACAAATGATATTGTATTTGTCTGCAGAGATCAGAGAACAGCAGCTTGACTTCGACTTTTGCAGATTGAGATCTGAGCTCAAGTAGCTGACGAAATGAGCTGTTGACTTCAGAGCTGCAGATACAATCAGCTGGAAAAATAGATCCATTCGGTTGACTCTTATTTAAAGCAGACAATAATGCTTGACTCTATTATCTTTAATCTAGTATGTAGATGTATGATGTGCTTTGCTCATCTCATCTCACGTCCCATGTCCAGATCCATAAATTATTTATTTTCGTATTTTGCGGCACAATATCAACACGTTTGCATAAACTAAATCAAAAGTTAAATGTACCATGGCTGCCAGACAGCCATTCGGGCTAACGAGTGCCCAAAATATTTGCCAAACAACGCGCACACACACATTGGGAATGGGAATTGAAAACCACCCGGAATCAGAATCCTAGTCGCAGATTTTTACGATTTACCCCAATTTCGATTTCGTTTCGAGTGTTGCGCACGGAGCGAGCCATTTGGAAGTGGGCAGAAGTATTTCCGTACGATTACAAACGGAAGTTTTGACACGTGTCAACACACCATACACTCACACACACACACACACACACATGCACACATGTGCCCTAAATGTGTTTGTGTCAATGTAATAAAAACAAAAACAAAAGCAAACACCAGCCGAACAGTCAACGCTGATTGAATTTTGATTTATATGCGGCGTCGAGTGTTTGGGATCAAGTCAAGTGGTTTCTGGGGCGGGGAAAGGGCAGCCAGACAGACTGCTGGGCTACTTAGAGCTGAAGACAGACTGGAAACTCCTCTAGGAGGTTAAAGGCCCCGACTCTCTACACCCTCAACTCTGTTTAATCTTACATGCCTGGAGTGTGTGGAGAATGAGGCAGCGGGTTGAGAACTTAAAGAAAAATTTAAAAAATAGAATAAAAACTCGGGTGGAAAATTCCCGATTCACTCAACAATGAAAAAGATATATCTCCAAAACTTAGGCAATTAGTGCACTGCACATTGAAAACTGGAAATTCTTGAAATCAAATATGTGTAATATTTATTTATTTATTTATTTATTTATTTATTTATTTATTTATTTATTTAATGGGCTAACTTGAAACCTCTAGGAGGTTAAGGGCCCCGACTCTTTAGTGCACTGGACATTGAGAAAGTATTCTTGAAATCCAATATTTTAAATATTTATTTATTTATTTAATGAGCTAGCTTAAAGTTTGAAACTATAAGTTAACAGTGGCTTATAGCCTGGCTACCAGGGCCTTCAGCTATATTTGTTTGCATTTTACTTAAAATCATAGTATTTATATAATATATTAACAATTATTAACTATTATTACATTTATATTATTGACAGACGTTTATATGCATTTGCCTTAAATTTTGTTGCATAGTTTAGTTTTTTTTTAGGAAATTTATTATTCTTCTTAGGCTTTTTGCTGTAGGATATGAAAGGATTTGGATGGGATTATTTTCGGTTTAGTATTTTGTTCGCTGTTAGTGTGTAAGTGTTCAATGTATATCTGTTTGTTTGGTAAATATTTAACAATTTTTTTTATTAGAATCTGCATTACATTCTCCTTTAGTTGTGTAGATTTTTGTTTCCTTTTGGCTACCGTTTTATGACTCCTCTCGCATGAATGTCTTCTTTAAAATTAAAGCACTGTTCTATTACTTGGAAAACCGGCAACAATTTTCAAATCAAAATGAGAGTTATATTACAAATCATATGAAATTAATACCGATTTATCTATTGCTACAAAATCCTCTTCAAAAAACTATTGTATTTCTGCCAAAAAGGCGACAGAACTTCCATTCCGAATTGCAAATAATATACAAGTATATTTTTTGTAATGATCGTTGCTCAAAAGTCTCATTTCTCTCCCTGCTATTAATTTATTGTGCCCCCATCCTATGAAGGTCTTCCATCTTTCTAAATCACAATTGCATTGCAACAATTTTTGTTTTCTCCCAAAACTCATATTCGAAGTTGTAAAGCATTAAATTTATGCTTCAAGTAATACTTGATGCTCCAAAATCGTGTTCTTTTTCGTTGAAGCACCGATTTCTCACACACCACACACTCACATGGAATTACGAACAACTTTTAATAAAGTTGTGTAGCGGTTACTTCAAAAAAATATGCGTTGAAGAAAAGAAATCACTACAAGATAATTGTAATTTGTAGCCAATTTGAAACAACAACAACACAAAACCAAAAATCGACCAATCATAGCCCGAAAAAATTATGCCTCGTAATGTTTTGAACTCTTAGAAAAAGAATCAAAGAAGCCAAATTAGTCAAAGAGTGAGGCCAGCCTCTACATGAAGACGAAGCGGACAATATATACCCATTCCTAGATACATTATTGTTTCGATTTGTGCAACATGGCCGCCAACTTCAAATACGAATCAAACATTTTAATTACTTTTCAATGAATATGCAAAAAACAACACATCTTGTACGCTCTTTTGTGAGTATTTCAGTTATAAATTTCAAGCTCATTATATTTTTGGAATTTTTGCTTTTGATTTTTTCTTTATTTTCTTATTTTTTGTTCACCAATATGTTACCGGTTTTGAGCAGCGCGTGGAGCCACAATTTGTTCAAGCCTGACTTAAATCTATGGACAGTCTGCTGGTTTCTGCTCAGATTAGTTTTGATTCAGATTCAGATTATTCTGCACTATTTTTCACATTAGAAGCCAAACTTCTGCCACAAGAAAATTAATTCCAATATATATTGTACATGTTGTTGTTTTTTTTTTTGTTGTTTCTGATTTATATGGCCTTTCTTTTCTCTTTAGCGATATAGTGTATAGTACGTATAAATCAATGCCAGATCTGAGCTTAGCATCAACACTTCGGATAAACATTTATTTATTTATTTTATACAAACGTTTGTTTTTACGAGCTCAATTTTATTGCCCAAACGTTTCAGTTGGCGCTTTTTTCTGGACTTTTCAATAATATTTATTTGTGTCATATAATTTTTCGATTTGTTTGATTTGCTGCTTCGCGCATTTTATGTTTTTTCTGCTGCTAACTGTGAGATATTATATCGTACGGGTCTCGGTCAGACTAAGCTTTATAAATAGCCCGCTCTTACGAATGCTTCATAAAAGTTACTACATTTGGTAACTGATGGCCATGAAGGGCATAAACAGACCACAGTTATGGTGGGGTTAATAAAAACATTGAACAGCTGCTAGTTGGTTGTGATTATGGTGTGAAAGATTTGTTTGTTGTTGTGAATCCTTTCTAAATGAAAAGGCTAACATTTTCTACGATTCCCAACTTTGTCAGATTAGTTGTCAATTAAAAGTCTTTTTGTAGATAACTTCAATGAAATGTTGAAACAATGTAGAGTTTTGTTCTACATTTCTAAAAGTTATTATGAACTAGTTCAAGAGTATATTAAAGTGGTAATAGCTGGTACTTGAGATGGTGTGGCAGATTAGTAAGGCTATGGCTGTTAATGGATGAATCATGAATACTTTATAAATGAAAAGGAAAAAGCTTTTCTTTAACTTCCAATTTTGTCAGCTTAGTTGATAATTAAAAGTTATTTTGTAGACGACTTAAAAGAACCACAAAAC